GTGGTGCTGAGCTGGAGCCACTAGCCTCTCTGTCATGTGGTCGAGGTGGCATCTGAGGAATAGCTTGATAATCACCATCAGAACTATCACTGGGGTTGCTCTCGACCACACCCACCTGCTGAGCATCTAGCTGCTCCTCCTCTGTCGCTGCAATGCCCCTGGTGATCTCATCCTGCTGGGCTGCTGTCTCTGAGACCTTTGGGCGACGACTCGGCTGGCGAGGTGTCCTCGCACTACTATGGCGAAGCATCTGAGTCATGTTATAAGGAGGGAACTCTGTAGTAGCACATGTGTACTTAGCCATTGTCTCTGGGGACTTCTATGTAACTGCCTTTCTAATCAAGAAGGTAATCCAGTGAGCATAAGACCACTGAACCCCTCAGCAAGAGTGTCGTTCGTCTCTGAAAACATGACATCCCAAATATCAAATACGGTCTGCTGCACCAGGGAGTTCACCAACCATAACTGAATGTGAGTCAAGCCCTTGTGGTAGCCCATCCTCGGGAGCAGAGTCCTCCTCATGATAGCATCAAGAAGCCAAGCTATAGGAGTAAGGTCTCATGGTGTCCTACTTGACCCCTATCCAAATGGCTCTGTGAAGCATGGTCTAACAAGGTCTGTAGGTGGCACAAGACCGCCGTGAGGGCATCTAGGAGGCTCTGTCTGACCATAGCAAACCTCGTGAAGGTGAATGGGTGACTCTAGAATCCTGAGAATCTCTCTAACTCTCGAGATCTGCAGTCTGTAGTCACGGCCTCTGAATGCAAAGTGTATGAATCTGTGCCTCGGGTCAATCCAAAGTGAAGAGTAGAACTCATGGACCCATGATGGAACATAGCGGCCAGTCTGTCCAAGAAGGTCTGTCAACCCTAGCAGTTAAGATAGATGGGGACGAATCTGCTCGCCTGCTGCTGCAACAAGTGACTCAATGGAGCAAACTCTCTGAGATCTGAATGCAACTCCACTGTTCAAATAACCATTATAGAAATCCTCCTACATTGATGTATAGAAGTGCTCTGAAGCACGCTCACCCCGCCTCGGCGGAAATCAGTCATCAAACTGCATGAAATAGAGCTGCTGCACCTGCTTGGCTATGGCTGCCCTCAAGTCAAGGTGAGTCACCGGAGGTGGACCCTGTGGTCTAGGAGGCGGACGAGAGCCCCTCCTCTGTGTCTTAGGCCTCGGTGACACCTGAGTATGAGTATGACCAGAACGTCGTAGCTATGGCTAAGGTGCCTGTTCTGTCTCCTCGGTCTACTCTGCCTGCTGAGTATCCTCTGACTGCTCTGCTAGCTATGTCTGCTGCTCTAGCTCCCCCTGAGGTTGACTCTCCTCTAAAGCGACACGCCGTCCTACAAGCATGATAGTCCTAGCTGGACCACCATGAAAACTCTCAACCCTCTCGACGGCAGCCCTCTGAGCTGGTGATAGCTGATCTGCAATATGGACACCACTCCTAGCTCCACCTCTCTCCGCCCACTCTGAGGCGGCTGACACTGCTACTGCTCTCTTAGTATCAGCATCTGCAAACTTACGCTTCTTTGTCATAGTCTTCTTCGTCTTGCCTTTCTCCTGAGCAGACAGGCGAGGTGGAGGCCTCGGATCCTCATCACCAGGACCACCTCCAGCATTCTTGACTCGTGCCATTGTTGGGGCTGAAGTGAACTACTTTCACGGACAAGAATCAACTACCAACTGACACTCGCGAGGCTTGGCCTCGATCCGTACTCGTGGGCTTGGCCCCGAGTTCACTGACAACTGCAAACACAACCACAAAAGCACCGACTCACTGCATGATAGAATAGATATGATATATAAATAATCACAATATATATCTAGAGATGCGAAGCCCTAAGAAGCAAGCAGTAGATACGAAATTGAAAGTGATGGCTTGCTACCTAATGAAATCAGATGACTTGATGATGAATCAGCAGAGGAAAGAACCATGGGGCACCACCGGAATCGGCAAAGGCTAGGGTTAGGGTTTGGCGAGGCAATGCGGCGGCCGAGAAGACGCGGTGGCTAGGGCAATCGGTGGTGTAGGCGAAGCTCGGCAGTGGATGGCCCTGGTGGTGGCGCTGGTGAGCTGTGGGCGCGTCGGAGGCAGGCGGCGCGGGTACACGGCGTGAGGGCTCAGGCGCGCGGCTGAGGTACGGGCGCGGCGACGCTAGGGCACGGGCGCGCGGAGGCAGGCGGCGCGGGCAGGCGAGCGCGAGTGATGGAGACGCGGCGGCGTGGTCGTCGGGCATGGGAACGCGGCGGTTAGGGCACGGGATAGGAGCTACGCGGTGTACGGAGGAAAAGGTATATATGGTGCCCCCCCGTGACGGATAAGGAAAGGAGTATTAGATCCAACCGATTTCTACTGACCAGACGCACCGGTGGCAACGATCAAACGCTGCCACCTAGAGTCCGGTCGACAACAGAGAGGTCCAAAACCTCTCAAGTCGCGATTGGACGCGTCTAGTTACCCATGACCGGAAGCAGCTAGAGTCCGGTCGGTCCTAACAATGCTTTCTTCGCTTAACCAAACGCAGGGACACCATCTGACCGGACATAGGATGAGCACTGTTTCAGCGTCCGGTCACTCTTGTGCAGCAACGGTTCACCTCCTGTGAACTGACCGAACGCTGGAAGCATAGTCCGATCCAGCATTCGGTCGCTCTTTTTCAGCAAATCTTCAATGTTCCTTCGCGCTGCCAGTTTCCAATCAAGTCCCAACTTCAATAAGATCCAAATAAGTACCAATTGGGACTGAAGTGAGTGACTTTTCTCAAACCCTCAAAATTTTCAAAATATTTTACCTTAGGCTATACTTCTTTTTAAGAAAATAGGCGATAAAAGGGTAATCGAAAGGAAACGACAAAGCAACACACATGCATATGCAATGCAATCATTGAAAGTAATTCTAGTTGCTTGTCAAGTTTGATCCAAGGTTAAGCTTCTTCACTCACTTTTCGGCGGTTATCTTAACCATGTTAGACAAGCCCTAAATGCATTACCAAAAATTAAACATGTTGTATATTACAATGCAAGGGACAACACAAGTTCATTTTCTAGTGAAGTTACTAAAATCAAGCACATTGAGCTCATTCCTCAACTGACTAAAATCAAGCACCAACGAGAAGGGTGTTTGCACACTTGCTACTCTCCTTGCACTAATGAGGCATTAATCTTGGATTCTCAAATCACAATCACCTCACTAGGCTCTTGCTCTCCTTTGCACTCTCAAGGGTGTTTCTCAGCTGAACAAATGGGCAAGAGACCTCCCTTGGACGAGTGGAGAAAGTATTTATACCCCCTCATTCAAAACTTAACGTTGGAAGGCTGAGTCATCACTCTGCGGGGTGACCGGACGCTCCGGTCAGGGTGACCGAACGCTTCGGTCAGTTATCCCCGCCTATGTTAGAATGAGCCGTTAAAATCTGACCGGACTCTGACCTGCGTCCGGTCAACACTGACCGGACACGTCCGGTCACAAAAACTGCTCTCTGGAACATTACTGATGTTGACCGAACGCTGACACCCAGAGTCCGGACACTTTGCTTTTCAGCGTTCGGTCAGTTACAAGATCCTGACCAGCGTCCGGTTATCACTGACCGGACGCGTCCGATCAGGAATCTCCCTCTCTGGAACCTCTCTGGAGTTACCGGACACATGAACCCAACGTCCGGTCACTTTTCACTTAGCGTCCGGTCGCAACCAGACGGCTCCAGTTGATCAAATGAACTGACCGGACTCTCACTTTTGCGTCCGATCACAACCAGACCAGCGTCCAGTCAGTCATTTGACCCAATTGATATGTGAATGAAGTTTGCTCCAATTGATCTTAGGGCTACTCCGGAGCTTCCTAGTGCTAGATTTGACAAGTGTGCACCACACCTAACCCACTAGACTCACCTAGATCAAGTTACTAGTCCATACCCCCTTAATAGTACGGCCAAATGAAAAAGAAAGTCCTAAACTACTCTAAGTGTCTCTTCAACACCAAACGACACTTAGAACTAGTCCATCCTTAACCTTGTCGTCCATCATTTTAAAACCGAAATGATTTCCATCATAGGGGCATAACAACCATGATTGCTCAATCAATTGCCATTACCATGACCTAACTTAATTGCCTCTGCAAAACACACGTTAGTCATATTAATCTCGTATTGTCATTAATCACCGAAACCCAACTAAGGGCCTAGATGCTTTCACTTTCCTTTGTAACCCTGACCTTTCGGCTATACCCTGACCTCTTGGCTATATAAGGGACGTAGGGTAATATTGTACAAGATGACAATTTGGGAGTAGTAGCCTAGTAGGAATAGAAATAGATACATTTTTAGAAATATTTTGGTGCTAATTTAATGTTATTGCTGAAAATAAAATTATTTACAAAATAAAGAAATTTTATATTGTTATAAAATCACCTTTGAAACCAGCTAGTATCTATAATTTATTTGTTAAAGATTTTTTTGGAGCTGCGAGGCTAAAAACAAAATCCAGCTATAGGTCGATGGAAAAAAAATGGTTTTGTTTCTTCTGATGAACGATGAATCGAATAAAAATGTACTGGTGTTCGAACACTGAAATAGACAAGGAATTAAGCAAACTTGTATGTACTAGGTTCTATTCTGAATCTCTAGTGCAATACTTGATGCTTATTCACATGGGCTCTGGGAATTGAAGAGGGTCGATGTTTTCTGGTCCCTAACTCCTCATTTGTAACGGAAGGGATAAATCGGTAAACTCAGAGCTTGTACTGGCATTATGAAGGCAGGCTACCGCCTGCTTGATTCGTTTCATCAAAAAAAGAAAGAAAGCAGGCTACCGGGACTAGGAATCTCTCTCAAAAACGAACACTTGTAAGTCAGTGTTAATACTGAATAATGTATTCGGAAAATTGTGCAAGTCAGTGTCAGTACTTAGTAAAGACAATACACGGATCAACAAAAAAACACTACACTTCTTAACAAAAAACCGTGCAACGACGCGATCGTGAAAAAAAAACTCTACAGGTAGTCAGGTGACTGCACACAGCACATACATTCAGATCCGTACTGTACGTTTCAGCAAGCTGATCCTCTCATGTGTCAGGTTGCCGCTTCGTTTATCTCTTTGGGCCTTGTTTAGATTGCCTTAAAATTCTAAATTTTTTCACTCTCTCTTCATCATATTAATTTTTGGACGCGTGTATGAAGCATTAAAAATAAGTAAAAAAATAACTAATTACACAGTTTGGTTGTAAATCACGAGACAAATCTTTTAAGCCTAGTTAGTCCATGATCGGACAAAGTTTGTCAAATACAAACGAAACGTGCTACCGTATCCCAATTGCAAAAATTTACAATGTAAACGAGGCCCCGTTCTCCTGGGACGCTGAGTCGGGGGCTGTCTTCTTCCCTCTCCTGACCCAGCTTGACAGCAGCACATGTATGGCGAAGTAGGCGAGCACAGCGAGAACGAGGGCGGAAACATACACAGAGGTCTTCCACGTCCTGCTGGACCCGGCGGCGTAGGCGATCAGGAGGCCCAGCAGGTCCAGCACGATCGTCGCGTTCATGACCCCGAGCCAGAGCCACCACCACTTGTCGTGCTCGTGCAGCGGCTCTGGCAGCAGCAGGACGATGACGATGACGGACGCCACGAAGGAGGTGGAGTTGCTGTAGAAGAAGGCAAGGTACCGGGCCCTCCGGTAGTCGTGCATCACCGGGTCGCCCGCGGTGTGAGTGCCGTCGTTGGACTGCCATGCCCCGCCCGGCGGCGCCAAGCCGGCCTGGTAGGTCACGCTCGCCACAAGGATTCCAAGCAGCATCAGATACTTGCGCTTGGCATGTGCCCTCTTTCCTTCACGGCGAGCTTTGGCTCCTTGAGGAGCTCTGTGCTCGGCTCCCATGGCATTTGGCACCTCAGCAGCAACAGCACTGGCTTCTTCTTCTTCTTCCCCGGGTGCCTCTCTTGCTGCTCTTCTGTTGCAGTTAGCATTGTCATCTTGTTTTTTCAGATGGATCACAAGGAACACTGCAGCCAGCAAGACCACAGTGGACAGGACCACTGCCGCCAACGCGAAGATATAGATGGATGTCTTCAGATGCTGCGTGCAGCCGGCGGCGTAGCCGCCCATGATTCCAATCAACCCGGCCGCCGTGCAGACAGACAGCGCATTGCTCCGAATGGCAGGATGGTACAGATTGGGGTTCACGAGGAGGATGATGAGCGCGATGGACAGCATGAAGCTCACCGAGTTGCAGTAGAAGAAAGCCGTGTAACGGCGCGGGTAGTTGTTGAGCAGGACCGGATCGCCGGCATGTCGCCCGGTATGGCTATCGTCCTGGACCAGAAAGCCACCCGGCGGTGTCAGCCCGGCTTGGTAGGTGATGGTCGCGGCCAAGATGGCGAAGAGGAGCAGCCGCTTGCGCCTCTTTTCCACGAGCTCCGCGTCATTTTTCTCCTCAAGGGAAGTTTCATCATTCCCTCTCGCGCTCGCGCTGCCGTCCTTGTGGTCCAGCGTCAACAAGACGACATGGATCACCACGTAGACCAGCACGACACCTGCCAGGGCCATGGCGTAGATGGACGTGCTCACGTCCCGGCAGCTGCCGGCGGCGTAGGCACCGATGAGGCCGAACAGGTCCAGCACCATGGCGGCCTCCAGCGCGTTGTGGTGGTGCAGGGTCTTCTTCCTAACCAGCACAATGGCAACCAAGGAGGCAACAAAGGCGACGGAGTTGCAGTAGTAGAACGCCTTGTACCGCCTGGGATTCGTGGTCAAAAGGATCGGATCACCGATCTTGTAGATGCTGCCGCCGTCGCTCTGCCAGAGGCCACCTGGCGGGTTCAGGCCTGCTTGGTAGGTGATGGCCGTCGCGAGAGTGGCGAGCAGCAGGACTAGAGAGCGAGCCTTCTCCAGCGCTTGATTCTGTTGCTTCTCATGCTCGTCGCTGGTTAATTACAGAGAGAAACAGATCCATCAAAAAGTATAGAGAAACCAGAATCAAATTACGTTTTTTTCGTTTGTACTTCGACAATTTTCTCTCCTCTATTAATATTTTTGACTTGCAGAAGTCCTGCCAGCTATTTTTTTTTCAGAAAAAAAAGAGAATCAAATTGCATAGTGCAATGCCAATAATATGCTGACAAGGAAAGAGAAAATGTGCTGTGTTTGTACCTGCCATTGCCATTACTAGGTTGGGGACTCCTCTGAGTTTGCTGCTGCTGCTGCTCATCACTGATAAATGACAGTGAAAACCAACCAGTCAAAATTGCAAGGGAAAATATTGAACAGCAACATTATTATTATCAGCCTATTCGCTGGTTGGTTTCTGGGCTGATAAGCCCGATTGATGCTGGTTTGTTGCAAGAGAAAATACTGTTGACTGGCTAATAAGCCCTGGCTGAAACCAACAAGCGAGTATAGTTTTACAGAATTGCTATCTTGTGCCCGGTTGTTTCATCCGGCTCCAGCACCCGAATTTCTGGCCGTGCGATCGCATCAGCAAGCAAGCGTAGGGACAGATAGATGCATTGCAGTCTTGCAAAGGTAGAAGGGCAACCGCATGTAGCCGTGCGTCAGGCACTGAGGCCGCGGGCTCCGACTCGCCCGACCCCAAGGTCGCGGGCTCCGACTCGCCCAACACCGACGCCGCGGGCCCCGTCTCGCCTTACCTCTGGGGGTGGGCTCCGACTCGCCCGACCCCGAGGCCACGGGTCACTCGAGCCATCGAGGCAAGTGACGTTAGCTTAAACCCTCTGGTTGCGGAAACCACGGACGGGGTAACGACCACAAAGACGAGCCGACCCTAGATCGGCCCCCGCTACGCACGGGGGCTCAAGGAAAGTTGGACTCGCAAGGAGACCGAATGCACGGTCACAAAATGCTGGCTCAGATCCTACGGAGGGGGTACGTGCAAAAACTAAGAATAACATTTCTAAAACAAGAGGCGCTTTCTCCTACTAGTTTTGCTATCATCTCCTCGATATTCAATGACACCCGACCCCAGCAACGGCAAGGGGTCAGGTCTCACTCGGGGGCTGATAAGGGTATATATACACCCTTTCTGAAACAGTCGCCATGCCCGACCCCTTCCTCACGTTAAAAAAACTAATGGCAAGGTTCGCGGAAACGAACGACTGAGTAAGGATGGTCGTACTGCAAGAAACCTACGCCCCAGCGGCTATGGCACTCTTGCTTACCAGCGTGAGTAGAATTTCCCTCCTACACCTCGAACTCTACGGTCTTAACAAACGGAAGGGTCGGAACACATTAACCCCTTTTCACACATAAAAAGGGAGAAAAAACAAATTCGTTCGCACCGAAACAAAAGAACAGATTTAATCAAACGAAACAAAATGACAAGTTTGTTTAAACGATACACAAGGGTTAGCACTTGTCCGATTATTATAAAAATGATTGTCCGACCTATCTAACTAACTAGCCCCTCCGGGAGAGAACTATGCATTCTATCCTGTCCGCTAGGTCTTGTGAAAGGGGAGCCACCGCCATCTCCATCTCATCCAACTCATGGACTTCATAGCCGAGCTCATAGCCGTGGCTTATCGCCTCCAGATCGATGCTGCCCCATAATGAGAATGAGCAATCATGAAGGATTGATTGACCCCGGCGCAAAGGCCATTCCTCTCGAGCTAGCGCACCCGAGCCGTGATCTCGATGGCACGGGCAGCGAGCAAGCTGGACCCCTTAACCGCACCACCTCAAGGTCGTCGTAGACCACTCTGAGGGCGGCGCTCGGGATACCGAGCTCATCGCTCTCCGCCTGAAGATTCATCCTCGCCTCGGCGAGATCCACAACCAGCCTAGTAGAAACGCTCTCAGCCGCCAGCTTCTAGGTCGTCGCACTTTCGAGCTCGGCCTGGAGGAAACCAACCTTCTGTTGCGCGTCGTCACGCTCTTGGCAGGCCTAGTCGCGCTCTCAGAAAGCCTGGTCATGCTCCTCGCGAGCCGTGCCGCATTTCAAGGAGAGCCTCTCCGTGGTTTGGATCTGTTCATCCTGCTCCTTGCACAGCCGAGCGACCACCGCGGCATCCAGGCTCGCCCTCTTCTCTAGGGCCGCGAGCTTCTACTCGGCCTCTAGCATCAGATCCCTTTCCTTCTCAACCTCGCTCAGAAGGTCAAGGATCCGCTAGCGGGTCTCGGCGTCCTTCTGGAGCAGCTCATCCCGCTCCTTCCTGACCTTGGCGGCCTCCTCGTCGTCCTTCCGCGACCTCGCCGACAGGGCCTCGAATGCTTTTTCGGCCTTGTTCTCATCCCGACGGGCCTCGGCCACCCACGACTAGAGATTGGCTACCTCCTCGGCAAGGGGTCAGCTCGGCCACCCTCTGTTGGGCGGCAACAAGCTGAGCTGTCACCTCCCCGTGTAGTCGCGCCTCCTCGACAGGGCGGTCCCAGGCTTCCTTCTGTTGACGAAGGAACTGAGACTTTCCTCGGCTACGAGCTATAAGGGACTGTAGAAAGACTATGGTTAGGATACAAAAACTATATAAAGAAAGATAAGGGCAAGAGGCAGGAACAAACAATACCCGGCCGAAGGGAACAACAACGTCGCGCAACGCGCCCGTGGCATGGTTCAGGGCCTTGAGCATGGATGCGATCCCTACGTCGAGGCACTCCCGCTCCACGCTCTCTGCGGTGTCGTCAAGGGGAAAAGCGCTGACGCCGGATCCCACGGATCCACCCACTGGAGCAGGGGCTCACCCCGCGCAGGCGAGTCGCTGCCCGCCGACGTTAGGGCCAGGGACAACTCCCCACAGGCTCCAAGTGCCACCGACCCCTCTCGCCATGACGTCCCCACCGGGACGCCCCCTTCGGCGATGGAAGGGGTCAGCGGTGCAGACGCCAACCTCAATCCCAGCACCACGACTCCTGTGGACCCCTCGGCCGCGTCCCCCTCCGTCCAGCCGGCGCCAGGCGCCGTCGCTTGGGCCACCGATGGCATAGGTCGCGCAAGTGCCTCAGGCGCCTCTGCGGTTACGCCTGGCCGTGACCCATCTATCACGGCCGCCGTGACCTCCACCAGCGTCGGCGGGTCATGACTGGCTGCGCCACGCCCGCCATGGTCGGTGCCACGAGCGCGGTCGACAGCCCCAACCGTCCTGCCGCTGGCAGCGGTATCGAGGCCATCACCGGCTGCTCCATGACCTCCGAAGGCGCCCCTTGAGCACCTGCGTCCGCCTGTCCTACCAAGGGCACAGGCGCCACTGAGGGCAGTGCCTGACCGGCCGGCGACACGGTCACACTAGCACCGCTCCCTCCTGAATCTGGCGTGACACCAGCCGATGAATGCCGCCTCAATTAGAGGGCGACGCTCTTCTTCGGCACCAGCGCCAAAGGATTACGCTGCCTGCCGACGCTGTAAGGGACGAAAAGCATAAGTCACAACGAAATTCGACTAAAACTGAAAAAACAGAGGAACTGATAACTCACCTTAGCGCTGTCGGGCAACAGATGCGTTTGGGGGGAGAACCCCCCGACCTTTGCTCCGCCTCGTCGGAAAGAGGCCATTTCGAGCCTGCCCCCTGCTCCTGGGCAGAGGGGCTCGCTCCCTTTGGCTCTTGGGGCGCGACGACGGAGCTGCTCCCTTTGGTATTTATCACTTTTTAAGCTGAAATCATTTGGGGTACCAAAATCTTGTCTGAAGTTGTATTTTTTTGAAATTCAAAATTTAAATTGCTCAAACTTTTCATATGTATATATTGACAAAACCAACAAAATAAATTGATAGAGCATGATTTTAGAAAAATTTAGGAAAAAAAACCATCAGATTTGGAGTTAGTATGAGGAAGAAAAACTAGTTACAAAGTTGACCCACAGATTAAAAAAAATCACACTGTTCACTATGATCATGTAAGGATCATCTAGAACAGTGCGATTTCTCTTTTTAATTTATGGGTAAACTTTGTAACGAGTTGTTCTTCCTCATACTAACTCCAAATGTGATGGTTTTTTTTTCTAAAAATTTCTAAAATCTTGCTTCAGCATTTAAGTTTGATCAAACTTAGATGTGACAATGTTTTACACATTTTAGAATTTCAAATTTAAAATTTGACAAGTTCAAACCAAATTTTCAAACCCTAAATTATTTCAGATGTAAAACTTATGAATAAAAAGTTGTTCAACTCATCAAGATCTACAACTTTTATTTTGGTTACCTTGTCATTTGACTAAATTTGAACCTTTCAAATTTAAAATTTTAAAAAATGACAAGTTCGAACCAAAATTTGAGACCCAAAATGATTTCAACATAAAAAATGATGAATATCAAAGTTGTTCAACTCATTAATATCTACAACTTTTATTTTCATCTTATCATTTAACAAAATTTAAACCTTTCATATTTGAAATTTTAAAAAACGACAAATGGGCACTGCAGGGGCGGCTGGTGATTGAGCCGCCCCTACAGATCAGCCCCAACTGTAGGGGCGGCTCATGTTACCAACCGCCCCTACAGTGCCATCTGTAAGGCGGCTGGGCTGCTGGGGCCCGAGGACACCCACTATAGGGGCGCCTCCAACCGTAGCCGCCCCTACAGTAAAAATGTCCCTGTTCCTACAGTAAGAATCTGGTGCGGTGGAGCCGGACAGCCGGTCGCGCGTATCTGGCAACCCACGTGGGCAAGGACTAAAAGTATTTAGCTGTTAGTGTTAGGTAACGGTCGATGGTATGTAATACCACACACCAGTTCAGCGTCCGCAGCTCTTGGTTCCTTCAGCACACCTGCAATACAGTGAATTCGCGGCGTCGCTGACTCGCTGTTCGGACGTGCGGGCGACTATACCATACGGCATGCAGCTGCAAGGGCCGGCTTGCGGTCTCCGAGGCAAAGGGCCTGCCAGGCGATCCAATCGGACGCCTAGGGCGACGACGCCACCGCCAGGTTTAGCTCTCGCAGATGGCAAAGCAAACAGCTCCTAGTAAGAGATCAGTCTTCCTACGTTCCAGGTGCCTGAAAATTTTGATTGTTGCGGGCAACATATTTAATGTTGCAGCAGTTGTTGATCGATGTTGCAGATGTTATCCAACGTTGCAAACCATGCAACCATCCAACATAACACTATGTTGTGGCGAGATTTTCTCTTCCGAAAACTAGACCTGCTGTGAACATGTTGCAAATGTTGTACTCTAATGTTGCAGATGTTGATTGCTAATGTTACAGCCGTTGCCTAAAAATTAATGAAATTCCATGCACCTGGAATACAGCATAGTAGATGTGAGCGGGCGACAGAAGATGCTACACCAGATCTGTGTTGTTGACATGGAGAGAAAAGATAAATGGGTTGGTAAACTTACGGCAAGCTATTTAAGAGAACGAGGTGAGACCAAATATTAATATTGCACATTTCCTACACACCAGGTGCTCTAAATCTCTTGAGATTTCAGGTGACCCGCTCCCACGCCTACGCACGTGTCTCCCTCTCTCCCCACGCGGCGGCGACGCTGGCGAGGTAGTTCCCTCCTCCTCCTAGATCTGAGTTAGGATTCCAGCGAGCTTCTCCTCTCTCTCCCAACTCCAGCAAGCTTCTCCTCTGTCTCTCCCAACTTCGGCGACCTTAGGAAAAGGAGAGCCTCCCGGGGAGGTAGGCAGGCCAGGAGGTGGGGACGACGGCCGAGCGGTTCAGGGCCTTGGCGGCAGTGGAGGCTGTCGCAGCGAGGGAGTCGTGGTCGTTCACTAGAGTTGGAGAAGAAAGCGGCGGCGAGAGGGCCTAGGGAGGCGAAGAGGGAGGCCACCGTAGGCGCGGTAGGGTCTCGCTCGAGCTCCACGACGGGGAGGCTTTGGAGCCTCGGCGAAGGAAGAAAGCGAAGTGCTGGAGGAGAATGATGAATAGTGAATGCCTAAGATCCGTCAGATGTTCATCGAACGATGGAAATTTGTCGCACGAAAGGAAGTTGATTTTCAGGCGCCTAGAGTATAGCGCATCCCTACCATACAACTATACACGAGTGGACTTTAAGTAAAAAAACTCGACCTGAGGAGGTACGACTGCCCCGCGGCATAACAATAAGAAGAAGACCTTCTCATAGTAGACTTTTAAGTCCATAAGATGATATAGCAATGACATACAATCAGCCATTGGCTCTACTATTAGCCTGCTCTAATTAACGAGAACAGCGGTTGATATGAGCGGAGTCCTACTCCCTGCCTCCTATCGTGTTGTTGCTCCCTTATCGTCGTCGTCAAATGCTTTTATAATTTCTTCGTACATATAGACCATTTTAGTAAAACTTCGGCCAATTAAAATATGTGAAATTTTTAGAGCTATTTGTAACAATACAGAATCTTTAATCTGAAGCTAGAGCCACGTCGAGTACATTTGCATGAGTTCAAAGTAAATATAAATATTTAATTTTTTTGAGGAAAATATTTAAAAATTTTAATTTACTGTGTATAAAATCTCAACCTGGCATGTAGATCTTGGAACTATATCAGACGGCCATAGTTCTGTACTCTCTCCGTCCTTATAATATAGTGTGTTTAATCATTTAAAAATTATACCTAAATATAAAGAATTTTAAGGGATAAGATAGTTTTGTATTAATAGTAGCACAAATTTAGTAGGTATTATATATTTACTTGCTATTTGCCAACCAATCTCCATCGATCACGTTGGTGATAGTGTCTCTCTCTCTCTCTCTCTAAAAATGATAGTGTCTATTTAGGAAATAAAGTAAAGGTATATATGTCTTTTATATTTTCTAATAATTTATTATAAAATCTTTAAAATACATTATATAATAGAATGGAGGAAGTACATCAATTTGCAAATTACTGCCGAACCAAAGCTTCTTAACTAGGAGTAGGATATTCTTCGCGGGAAAAAGAAAGTATATACTACTGTTCGGTGTTCCGTTCGTCGCTTGATCGATTGGTTAGCTTGGCACTAGGGGCGGCGCGTGTCTGGTCGTGCGGTTCTGCCAAATTGGAGGAACAGCTGGGGAGCTACGCTACAGAACCGGGCTACGGGTACGTATACGACGAAGCAGCTGTTGAACAGAGTTCCGTGTTCTATGTTTGACTTATGATGAGTTACGACAGAGAACTAAATTATTTGAACGGAGGGACTTCTTTTCGACGGTGAATTGTGGATGGTGAGGCCTGCCCTGTAAAGCCTGTCGACTTCTGGATGGGTTTCTCTTGGACCTCGTATATGGCCAGCCGGTAAACGGACCACAGAAAAAGGAAACGAGGCCCAAGTGCAGGACTGTGGCGGGTTCTATGCTTCTATTATCTTAAAATATCCTGACGTCTTCAGCTCTTCTGGATGAGCTCTCCCCTCGTGCCTTCTGGGTGGATGAGTGGAACTCCACACAACTTAAGACCAGAACTCCACCTAGGCCCTAGGGGATTGGTGGACCATGCATGCAATGCATGCAAGATGGATCCGTCTGCTCCTCTTCTTCCTTTTCGGCCTTCCCTCTGCCAGATTTCCATCCTCTGTACAGTTAAACGTGCGATTGGTTTAGGTAACTTGTCACTACTGGCTACCATCCACATCACCATATGGATGACATGTTGGTTCACTCGAGCAGCTTGCAACCTGTGTATCGGTCTATCGGACATTACAGTAGTACAACATCTAGGGACTACGAATTTCGCAGAAACATTTTTTTTTTTGAGGATCAGGAGGAGCCAGCGGCTCCTACTGCATGTAATTTATTAAGACAAAAAAAATACCAGTACAGAGATTACAAAGCAAGGAGAAGCAACAAAGAAAGAAAAACAGGAGAGGGATTCAGGAAACATAAAACGAAACACGAAAATTAGAGAGGTTACAGATGAGACTGAATCCATGATTCTAAAATGGGGGTGATTGAAGCTTTGGTTCTGTGCAGCAGCGAGAGAGACTCCACTGTTACAGTTCTTCTGCAATCTTCGACATAGGGATTTCTGTTTCTAATCCGCAGAAACAATTTAACTCGTATGCAAAATATAACAAAAGAAACCTAATGCTCCAAACCTGCTGTAAGTCTCTCTTATTTCTAACTCCCAGGAAATCGAAATACAGGGAACTTTCGGCTCTGTTCGGTTGTCATTATAAGCTGTCTTATTAGTCGGCATATCAAACATAGTACATTATTTTTCTCTCCCAACAAATCAGCTGTACAAATCAGTATAAGCGGCTTCCTTCGTCCCTGAATTGTAATAATGTGCAACTGCTGCTCCAAAGGACAAAGGATTTGTCTAAGCCATGCAAAAGTCCAAGTCAATGAGTCATAACATGCATGTCGCTGTCGCTGATCCAGCCGCCAATCCAGCTAGCTCAATGTCTGCAAGTCGGGAATTTCCCGTCTGTCCATGCCCACCCGTGGACTAGCAGCTGACTCAGCGGTCAGCACTTGGACTGCAACTCAGCAACTCTGCATGTATGTGCTTACAGTCTCATGCTAATGTCCACATCAAAATTGCACGCAACCAAGAAAACAGTCAAAGAACGGCAGCAACCATCAAGCACCTCTCCTATCCTATCCTCTCCTCTCCCCGGTACCTCTATATAAGCTCCAACCATTCTTCTCAAGTGGAACCACACAAATCACTAGCACGCAGTCTAAGATAGATAGCTTGCAAAAAACGTGAGAGCTTGATCCATACCAAATTACAAATATACCATGGAGTTTAGCACAATGCGCTGCTGCATGCTGCTTGTCTCCTTGGCTCTGCTCCCGCTGGGCATGGCCGCGGACTCCATCGGCAGCTACTGCTCGGGAAGCAGCTACGCTGGCAGCAACAAGGCCGTGACCAACATCAACTCCGTCCTCGCCGACCTCGTCGCCACGGCTTCCACCGGAGGCGGCTACGCCACGTCCACCGCCGGCAAGGGCAACAACATCATCTACGGCCTCGCGCAATGCCGCGGCGACGTCTCCGACAGCGACTGCGCGGCCTGCCTTGCCGACGCCGCCAAACAGCTCCCCAGCACTTGCAGCTACAGTTCCGACGCGAGAATATGGTATATATACTGCATGCCTGTATACATGTATGTACACATGCATGCAACTGCTAAGCAAGCTTACTATACATACATACATACATGCAGGTACGACTACTGCTTCATGCGGTACGAGAACGGCAACTTCTTGGGGCAGGCGGACACGGACGCGGGCGTGATCTTGGTGAACGTGCAGGCCATGGACAACCCGAAGGCGTTCGAGAAGGCGGTGGGGAAGGTGATCGGCAAGGCCACGGCGCAGGCGTCGGCGGCGGGCAGCGCGGGGCTCGGGCGGGACAAGGAGCAGTACACGCCGTTCGTGTCCATCTACGGGCTGGCGCAGTGCACGCGGGACCTCGCGCCGCTGACGTGCGCGCAGTGCCTGGCCACGGCGGTGTCCAGGTTCGGCGACTACTGCGGCGCGCAGCAGGGGTGCCAGATCAACTACAGCAGCTGCAGGGTGCGCTACGAGATCTACCCCTTCTACTTCCCGCTCGCCGGCAACTCCCCCGGCGGCCGCGCCACCACCGACATGACGAAGAACACCAAGATCGTCGTGCATCCTTTATAGTTTGATTTGATACGTGTGTGTGTAACGCGCACCATGCATGATGACGTGGATGCGTGCGTGCAAGCATGTGCACACTTCAGTAAGTCGCTAAGTTACTCGCTAAGAATGAAGTGACTTGTGTACGTTAACGTTGGGTAAAGTAGCCTTGCGTTACCAAGTACTCCTTGGAATAAAGATGTGCTACTGTGTTAAGCTTAAGCAGTGTAAGTACATCTGCGTCGAAGCAATAATATTGATACGTTAACTACGATCAGTCGCCACCAACTTTTATGTTCCCGTCAGCGTGCATTATTCGGTATGTAAAAGATTGCTCCACTGCTTAAGCTTAACACAGATGATGCATTGCGCGCTACTTAGCGTCTGGTTGGAGTTGGAGTGGGGCAATTCCTGTTCGCTTCGCTGAAAAGCTAGGCCGAAAAATACTAACTGATTTGTTGTGAGGGAAAAACACTGGTTCAAGCAAACATGATTCGAGGATAATTGGAACCAAGCCACCCCCAGAGAATATTCTCTCAAGACAGCCCATCCCAAAATTACGCAGATGAGCTGCGGTCTCTTCCATTCTCTCTCGCCAGCACCCGGCCGGGCTTCTCCGCACCGGCGGCGGCAGCGCTTGCCGAGCAGCGCGGGCCGGCCGTGTAGCGTTGAAGGCGTAGCTGTCCGAGCCGTGCGGGACAGCGTCCGCCGGCGGGCCAAGCAACGCGGGGCGGGCGTGCAGCGGTCAGCGACGGGCCAAGCCGCGCGGGGAGCAGGCGTGCAGCAGCGGGCAGGAAGGAGAGAGTGGAACATAGGCTGACATGCAGGCCCCACAACACTAATGTTGCTAACGGAAACCAAACGGTCATCCTGCCCTCCTCCGTTCTTCTTAGCAAATTCAAATCGTTCTGACTTTTCTATTTCTAGATAATAGTTTTTATATGTATATAGACATCATATATATTTAAATGGGTAAAAACTATAGACAAAGTTAGAACGACTTGATTTAGAATCGAGTTAGTACAAAACATTAGCTTTAAATATTAGTCGACATTACATTAGCCTTATATCACATTATATTACCTTTAAATATTAACAAGTAGTTTACATGCAGGATGATACTTCTAACGTAGTTAGGATAACTGCACGTGACTACTTGGCCACTAATGCTTGTCGTGCCCTCTTTATTGTTCGCTATCATAAAATTCAATTTGGACAACACATTCAAACTCGAATTATCCTGGTGTTATTTTTTTTTTGTCGCAACGCATGAACATGATCCTAGTAAATAAAGAAGTGAGGTCATCACATCTAAAAAACTTAAACGATACCATTCCATCACATCTCCTACTCATACCGAAAATGACAACTCAGAATCTAGGCCCTTCATATCTCATATGTTCGGGAACAAGAGACGTTCTAATCTCCGACCTCAAGAGTGGGGTGAGGTAGGTTCGCTCGGCCCAACCATAGTACCATGCGGGTTCCCACAAGGGGCCTACCCGTACTGGTGCGAGACCAAGTGGATAGTGGTTTTCCTTCTCTTGCAAGTTAGGATTAATCTAGCGTAATCCTCGAGACATAGCCACCCATGCCCTTATACTACATGCACAACTCGTGTGCCACTACATAGGGCACGACGCCTGACCCTATACAGATCCTGTACATAATAAGGAAGATGAGACGAGCCTCTCTAGCTGCTATAGAGGGCTTGTTCCACCAACTCAGGTGTGGGCACGATTGCCCGTAGCCGATTGTTCCCATGATCTCCACCACGACCATGGTTGGATGGCTACAGTAGCGAAGACCGCCCGCCACAACGCATGCCCGAGGGGCTCTCATGAAAACTAGTCGATATGTAGGACCCATCTCTTTCTCCCTTTCTGAAAGGATCAAGATGCCCAAGAGGAGGGGGTGAATTGGGCTAATTCTAAAATTCTTTGCAATAATTAAACCCTACACTTAGCTCACTTCACCCCTTGTGCCTAGAATGTGTTCCTATTGTTCTACCGCACAAAAGTTTTACACCCTAGGTTCCAATCCTACTCTAGCATGGCAATTCTAAGAATGTAAAGACAAGAAATGAATTGCTCAAATATAAATGCTTTAAGTAAAGAGAGAAGAAGGAACGCGGCGATGTTTTACCGAGGTATCGGAGAGTCGCCACTCCCCACTAGTCCTCGTTGAAGCACCCGCGCAAGGGTGTAGCTCCCTCTTGATACGTACAAGGATCAAGTGCTATCTACGGGTTGATTCTTCGACACTCTGTCGCGGTGAATCGCCCACAACCGCTCACAACTTAAGTTGGGTCATCCACAAGCTCCGCCGGATGATCATCAAACTCTCGATCACCACCAAGCCGTCTAGGTAATGGCGATCACCAAGAGTAACAAGCACAAACTCTCACTTGACCACGACAAGCCTAATGAGAAAGGTGGATGCACACTTGCTACTCTCCTTGCACTAATGAGGCCTTAATCTTGGATTCTCAAATCACAATCAAAACACTAGGCTCTTGCTCTCCTTTGCACTCTCAAGGGTGTTTCTCAGCTGAACAAATGGGCAAGAGACCTCCGTTGGACGAGTGGAGTAAGTATTTATACCCCCTCATTCAAAACTTAACGTTGGGAGGCTGAGTCATCACTCTGTGGGGTGACCGGGCGCTCCGGTAAGGGTGACCGAACGCTTCGGTCAGTTATCCCCGCCTATGTCAGAATGAGCCGTTAAGTTCTGACCGGACTCTGACCTGCGTCCAGTTAGCACTGACCGGACGTGTCCGGTCATGAAAACTGCTCTTTGGAACTTACTGATGTTGATCAGACGCTGGCACCCAGAGTCCAGTCACTTCACTGTTCAGCGTCCGGTCAATTACTGGATCCTAACCAGCGTCCGATCATCACTGACTAGATGTGTCCGATCAGTAATCTCCCTCTCTGGAATCTCTCAGGAGTTGACTGGACGCAGAAACCCAGCGTCCGGTCACTTTTCACTTAGCGTCCGGTCACAACCAGACGACTTCAGTTGATCAAATGAACTGACCGGACTCTCACTTTTGCGTCCGATCACAACCAGACCTGCGTCCATTCAGTCATTTGACCCTCCATTCACTTCCAAATCAAAATCATATGTGAATGAAGTTTGCTCCAATTGATCTTAGGGCTACTCCGGAGCTACCTAGTGCGAGATTTGACAAGTGTGCACCACATCTAACCCACTAGACTCACCTAGGTCAAGCTACTAGTCCATACCCCCTTAATAGTATGGCCAAAGGAAAAACAAAGTCCTAAACTACTCTAAGTGTCTCTTCAACACCAAACGATACTTAGAACTAGTACATCCTTAACCTTGTCGTCCATTCTTTGAAAACCAAAATGATTTCCATCGTAGGGGCATGACAACCATAATTGCCCAATCAATTGCCATTACCATGACCTAACTTAATTGCCTCTACAAAACACACGTTAATCATAGTAATCTCGTATTGTCATTAATCACCAAAACTCAACTAGGGGCATAGATGCTTTCAATCTCCCCCTTTTTGGTGATTGAGGACAATACTACCTCGACTATGTAAAAGAGATGAGGTTTTCAACATGCTTGGTTCATATAAGCTTTTGACAATAAGTGCAAAGGAGTTAGACATGCTTATATGACCCAAGCCAACATGGTGTACTCAATAGATATGAAATAAGCATGAGTACAAGAAATAAAGCTCATTTGAATCAGAGTAAAAACGTGGAAGCAAAGCAAATGAGCATAATGGAGTGACATGATATATATATAAATCAAAGTAGAGAGCACACATGTCACATAAGTATCACAATCACACGTATGTAGTTCAATGCATGAAAGTAAACGTGAATGCATAATGTATCACACATAAAGAGCCAAAAGAAATAAATCATATGCTCCCCCTAGATGTAATGCTCTCCCTAGATCTAACATACTCGATCCCTCTCCCCCTTTGGCGTCAAGCATCAAAACCTAAGGGTCGAACAGCGGGGCAAGAGCAGACGAGTCGGGCGCTGAGGTGCGGTGAGAAATCTAGAGCTGTGCAGCATCATCCTCAAACCCTGAGCTCTGAGCAGTCTGACCCTCTGTCGCTGGAAGTGAAGCTAAAGCGGTCTGGGTCTTCTCTAGGACTAGCGCGGCCTGTGACTCTAGAAGTATCACTGTAGGAGGTGGCTCTGATGATGCAATAGATGATGGGAGCATCTCTGTAGTCCCAGTAACTAGAGTAACTATGGTAGGTACAGGGACTCACAACTCTGGTGGTGTAGGCTGTCCTGTAAGCTCACTAAAAATCACACCGAGACTCCTAGATACTAGGGTGTCAGTCACTAGCACTGAGGAGCTCTGAGGCAAAGTGAAGCCCGTAACAATAGGTGTGAAGTGAGGACCCTGGGCTGTCACTGGCAAAGCAAACCACTAGGACACCTACTCTATAGGTGAAGCAAACTGAGTAGCTGGCTGTCCCTGACTCTAAAGCCCACTGGGCTGTATAGTTGGAGTCACTGAAGTGGTGGTAGGCTGGCCGATCTGAGGTGTAGTCTGTGGGGGAGCAACCCCAATAGTAGGGATGCCATGCTGCATAAAGCCAAGTAACTGCTGTTGGATCATGAGCTGCTACTACATAGCCTGCTGCTGCTGCTGTATGGCCTGCTGCTGTCTCTAGAACTCGTCTTGTCTAGCCTAAACCTGTGCTAGTGCAGCTGTGGTCTCCTAGACCAGGCGTGCCTAATCCTACCTCATCCGCTCAAGAATTGCTAGAAGAGTGGGGTCTATCTGCAGTGGTTGTGGTGGTGCTAAGCTGGAGCCACTAGCCTCTCTGTCATGTGGTCGAGGTGGCATCTGAGGAATAGCTTGATAATCACCATCAGAACTGTCACTAGGGTTGCTCTCGACCACACCCTCCTGCTGAGCATCTAGCTGCTCCTCTGTCGCTGCAATGCCCCTGGTGATCTCATTCTGCTAGGCTGCTATCTCTGAGACCTTTGGGCAACGACTCGGCTGGCGAGGTGTCCTCGCACTACTATGGCGAAGCATCTGAGTCATGTTATAAGGAGGGAACTCTGTAGTAGCACATGTGTACTCAGCCATTGTCTTTGGTGACGTCTGTGTAACTGCCTTTCTAATCAAGAAGGTAATCCAGTGAGCATAAGGCAGCTGTCGGTGACCACTGAACCCCTCTGTAAGAGTGTCGTTCATCTCTGAAAAAATGACATCCCAAATATCAAATATGGTCTGCTGCACCAGGGAGTTCACCAACCATAATTGAATGTGAGTTAAGCCCTTGCGGTAGCTCATCCTCGGGAGCAGAGTCCTCCTCATGATAGCATCAAGAAGCCGAGCTATAGGAGTAAGGTCTCATGGTGTCCTACTTGACCCCTATCCAAATGACTCTGTGAAGCATGGTCTAACAAGGTCTGTAGGTGGCACAAGACCGCCGTGAGGGCGTCTAGGAGGCTCTGTCTGACCATAGCAAACCTCGTGAAGGCGGATGGGTGACTCTAGAATCCTGAGAATCTCTCTAACTCTCGAGCTCTGCAGTCTGTAGTCACGGCCTCTGAATGCAAAGTGTATGAATCTGTGCCTCGGGTCAATCCAAAGTGAAGAGTAGAACTCATGGACCCATGATGGAACATAGCGGCCAGTCTATCCAAGAAGGTCTATCAACCCTAGCAGTTAAGGTAGATGGGGACAAATCTGCTCGCCTGCGGCTGCAACAAGTGACTCAATGGAGCAAACTCTCTGGGATCTGAATGCAACTCCACTGTTCAAATAAGCATTATAGAAATCCTCTTGCATTGATGTATAGAAGTGCTCTGAAGCACGCTCATCCCGCCTCGGTGGAAATCAGTCATCAAACTGCACGAAATAGAGCTACTGCACCTGCTTGGCTATGGCTGCCCTCAAGTCAAGGTGAGTCACCGGAGGTGGACCCTGTGGTCTAGGAGGCAGACGAGAGCCCCTCCTCTGTGTCTCAGGCCTCGGCGACACCTGAGTATGAGTACGACCAGAGCGTCGTAGCTATGGCTGAGGTGCATGTTCTGTCTCCTTGGTCTACTCTGCCTGCTGAGTATCCTCTGACTGCTCTGCTAGCTATGTCTGCTGCTCTAGCTCCCCCTGAGGCTGACTCTCCTCTAAAGTGACACGTCGTCCTCCAAGCATGGTAGTCCTAGCTGGACCACCATGAAAACTCTCAACCCTCTCGACGGCAGCCCTCTGAGCTGGTGATAGCTGATCTGCAATACGGACACCACTCCTAGCTCCACCTCTCTCCGCCCGCTCTGAGGAGGCTGCCACTGCTACTGCTCTCTTAGTATCAACATCTGCAAACTTATGCTTCTTTGTCATAGTCTTCTTCGTCTTGCCTTTCTCCTGAGTAGACAGGCGAGGTGGAGGCCTCGGATCCTCATCACCAGGACCACCTCCAGCATTCTTGACTCGTGCCATTGCTGGGGCTGAAGTGAACTACTGCCATGGACAAGAATCAACTACCAACTGACACTCACGAGGCTTGGCCTCGATCCATACTCGTGGGCTTGGCCCCGAGTTCACTGACAACTGCAAATACAACCACAAAAGCACCGATTCACTGCACGATAGAATAGATAGGATATATAAATAATCACAATATATATCTAGAGATGCGAAACCCTAAGAAGCAAGCAGTAGATACGAAATTGAAAGCGATGGCTTGCTACCTAATGAAATCAGATGACTTGATGATGAATCAGTAGAGGAAAGAACCATGGGCCACCACCGGAATCGGCAAAGGCTAGGGTTAGGGTTTGGCGAGGCAATGCGGCGGCCGAGAAGACGCGGTGACTAGGGCAATCGGTGGCGTAGGCGAAGCTCGGTAGTGGATGGCCCTGGTGGCGGCGCTGGTGAGCTGCGGGCGCATCGGAGGCAGGTGGCGCGGGTAGGCGGCGCGAGGGCTCAGGCGCGCGGCTGAGGTACGGGCGCGGCGACGCTCGGGCACGGGCGCGCGGAGGCAGGCGGCGCGGGCAGGCGAGCGCGAGCGATGGAGACGCGGCGACGTGGTCGTCGGGCATGGGAGCGCGGCGGTTAGGGCACGGGATAGGAGCTACGCGGTGTACGGAAGAAAAGGTATATATGGTGCCCCCCCCCGTGACGAATAAGGAAAGGAGTATTAGATCCAACCGATTTCTACTGACCAGACGCACCGGTGGCAACGACCAGACGCTGCCACCCAGAGTCCGGTCGACAACAGAGAGGTCCAAAACCTCTCAAGTCACGATCGGACGTGTTCGGTTACCCATGACCGGACGCAGCTAGAGTCCGGTCGGTCCTGACAACGCTTTCTTCGATTAACCAAACGCAGGGACACCATCTGACCGTACGTAGGATGAGCACTGTTTCAGTGTCCGGTCACTCTTGTGCAGCAACAGTTCACCTCCTGTGAATTGACTGGACACTGGAAGCATAGTCCGATCCAGCATTCGGTCGCTCTTTTTCAGCAAATCTTCAATGTTCCTTCGCCCTGCCAGTTTTCAATCAAGTCCCAACTTCAATAAGACCCAAATAAGTACCAATTGTGACTGATGTGAGTGACCTTTCTCAAACCCTCAAAATTTTCAAAATATTTTACCTTAGGCTATACTTCTTTTTAAGAAAATAGACGATAAAAGGGTAATCGAAAGGAAACGACAAAGCAATACACATGCATATGCAATGCAATACTTGAAAGTAATTATAGTTGCTTGTCAAGTTACCTTTCAAGTAACCTCTCTGGAGTTAACGGACGCATGAACCCAGCGTCCGGTCACTTTTCACTTAGCGTCCGATCGCAACCAGACGGCTCCAGTTGATCAAATGAACTGACCGGACTCTCACTTCAGCGTCCGGTCATAACCAGACCAGCGTCCGGTCAATCATTTGACCCTCCATTCACTTTCACCTCGAAATCATATGTGAGTGAAGTTTGCTTCAATTGATCTTAGGGCTACTCCGGAGCTACCTAGTGCTAGATTTGATAAGTGTACTCCACACCTAACCCACTAGACTCACCTAGGTCAAGTTACTAGTCCATACCCCCTTAATAGTACGGCCAAATGAAAAACAAAGTCTTAAACTACTCTAAGTGTCTCTTCAACACCAAACGACACTTAGAACTAGTCCATCCTTAACCTTGTCGTCCATCATTTGAAAACCGAAATAATTTCCATCGTAGGGGCATAACAACCATGATTGCCCAATCAATTGCCATTACCATGACCTAACTTAATTGCCTCTGCAAAACACACGTTAGTCATATTAATCTCGTATTGTCATTAATCACTGAAACCCAACTAGGGGCCTAGATGCTTTCACTTTCCTTTGTAACCCTGACCTTTCGGCTATACCCTGACCTCTTGGCTATATAAGGGACGTAGGGTAATATTGTACAAGATGACAATTTGGGAGTAGTAGCCTAGTAGGAATAGAAATAGATACATTTTTAGAAATATGTTGGTGCTAATTTAATGTTCTTGCTGAAAATAAAATTATTTAAAAAATAAAGAAATTTTATATTGTTATAAAATCACCTTTGAAACCAGCTTGTATCTATAATTTATTTGTTAAAGAATTTTTTGGAGCTGCGAGGCTAAAAACAAAATCCAGCTATAGGTCGATGGAAAAAAATGGTTTTGTTTCTTCTGATGAACGATGAATCGAATAAAAATGTACTAGTGTTCGAACACTGAAATAGACAAGGAATTAAGCAAACTTGTATGTACTAGGTTCTATTCTGAATATCTAGTGCAATACTTGATGCTTATTCACATGGGCTCTGGGAATTGAAGAGGGTCGATGTTTTCTGGTCCCTAACTCCCTCTCATTTGTAACGGAAGGGATAAATCGGTAAACTCAGAGCTTGTACTGGCATTATGAAGGCAGGCTACCGCCTGCTTGATTCGTTTCATCAAAAAAAGAAAGAAAGCAGGCTACCGGGATTAGGAATCTCTCTAAAAAACGAACACTTGTAAGTCAGTGTTAATACTGAATAATGTATTCGGAAAATTGTGCAAGTCAGTGTCAGTACTTAGTAAAGACAATACACGGATCAACAAAAAAACACTACACTTCTTAACAAAAAACCGTGCAACGACGCGATCGTGAAAAAAAACTCTACAGGTAGTCAGGTGACTGCACACAGCACATACATTCAGATCCGTACTGTACGTTTCAGCAAGCTGATCCTCTCATGTGTCAGGTTGCCGCTTCGTTTCTCTCTCCGTTCTCCTGGGACGCTGAGTCGGGGGCTGTCTTCTTCCCTCTCCTGACCCAGCTTGACAGCAGCACATGTATGGCGAAGTAGGCGAGCACAGCGAGAACGAGGGCGGAAACATACACAGAGGTCTTCCACGTCCTGCTGGACCCGGCGGCGTAGGCGATCAGGAGGCCCAGCAGGTCCAGCACGATCGTCGCGTTCATGACCCCGAGCCAGAGCCACCACCACTTGTCGTGCTCGTGCAGCGGCTCTGGCAGCAGCAGGACGATGACGATGACGGACGCCACGAAGGAGGTGGAGTTGCTGTAGAAGAAGGCAAGGTACCGGGCCCTCCGGTAGTCGTGCATCACCGGGTCGCCCGCGGTGTGAGTGCCGTCGTTGGACTGCCATGCCCCGCCCGGCGGCGCCAAGCCGGCCTGGTAGGTCACGCTCGCCACAAGGATTCCAAGCAGCATCAGATACTTGCGCTTGGCATGTGCCCTCTTTCCTTCACGGCGAGCTTTGGCTCCTTGAGGAGCTCTGTGCTCGGCTCCCATGGCATTTGGCACCTCAGCAGCAACAGCACTGGCTTCTTCTTCTTCTTCCCCGGGTGCCTCTCTTGCTGCTCTTCTGTTGCAGTTAGCATTGTCATCTTGTTTTTTCAGATGGATCACAAGGAACACTGCAGCCAGCAAGACCACAGTGGACAGGACCACTGCCGCCAACGCGAAGATATAGATGGATGTCTTCAGATGCTGCGTGCAGCCGGCGGCGTAGCCGCCCATGATTCCAATCAACCCGGCCGCCGTGCAGACAGACAGCGCATTGCTCCGAATGGCAGGATGGTACAGATTGGGGTTCACGAGGAGGATGATGAGCGCGATGGACAGCATGAAGCTCACCGAGTTGCAGTAGAAGAAAGCCGTGTAACGGCGCGGGTAGTTGTTGAGCAGGACCGGATCGCCGGCATGTCGCCCGGTATGGCTATCGTCCTGGACCAGAAAGCCACCCGGCGGTGTCAGCCCGGCTTGGTAGGTGATGGTCGCGGCCAAGATGGCGAAGAGGAGCAGCCGCTTGCGCCTCTTTTCCACGAGCTCCGCGTCATTTTTCTCCTCAAGGGAAGTTTCATCATTCCCTCTCGCGCTCGCGCTGCCGTCCTTGTGGTCCAGCGTCAACAAGACGACATGGATCACCACGTAGACCAGCACGACACCTGCCAGGGCCATGGCGTAGATGGACGTGCTCACGTCCCGGCAGCTGCCGGCGGCGTAGGCACCGATGAGGCCGAACAGGTCCAGCACCATGGCGGCCTCCAGCGCGTTGTGGTGGTGCAGGGTCTTCTTCCTAACCAGCACAATGGCAACCAAGGAGGCAACAAAGGCGACGGAGTTGCAGTAGTAGAACGCCTTGTACCGCCTGGGATTCGTGGTCAAAAGGATCGGATCACCGATCTTGTAGATGCTGCCGCCGTCGCTCTGCCAGAGGCCACCCGGCGGGTTCAGGCCTGCTTGGTAGGTGATGGCCGTCGCGAGAGTGGCGAGCAGCAGGACTAGAGAGCGAGCCTTCTCCAGCGCTTGATTCTGTTGCTTCTCATGCTCGTCGCTGGTTAATTACAGAGAGAAACAGATCCATCAAAAAGTATAGAGAAACCAGAATCAAATTACGTTTTTTTCGTTTGTACTTCGACAATTTTCTCTCCTCTATTAATATTTTTGACTTGCAGAAGTCCTGCCAGCTATTTTTTTCAGAAAAAAAAAGAGAATCAAATTGCATAGTGCAATGCCAATAATATGCTGACAAGGAAAGAGAAAATGTGCTGTGTTTGTACCTGCCATTGCCATTACTAGGGCCTCGTTCACTTTGTAAAAAAAGTGAATCCGATGAATAATATCACTTTCTGTCTTATTTGATAAATATTGTTCAATCATGGATCAACTAGGCTTAAAAGATTCATCTCGTAATTTTCAACTAAATTATATAATTAGTTATTTTTTTTACCTACATTTAATACTCCATACAAGCGGCTAAAAATTGATATGATGAAGAGAAAGTGAAAAAATTGGAATTTAGATGACATCTAAACAAGGCGTAGGTTGGGGACTCCTCTGAGTTTGCTGCTGCTGCTGCTCATCACTGATAAATGACAAGCCCTTGTTTAGCTTTGCATTTTCACTGATAAATGACAGACTCGAAATCTTTCATGACCAGTCAAAATTAAATGTGAAGGAAAACTAATTGCACAGTTTTGTTGGAAATTACGAGATCGAACGCACCATCCATGATTGAACTGAACCAAATAAAACGAAATTATTACAAGAATAGCCAAATTTCGGCTTTTCTGAACTAAACGCGCCAAGAAAATTGCAAGGGAAAATATTGAACAACACCATTATTACTATTGGTCTATTTGTTGGTTGCTTTCTGGACTGATAAGGCCGACTGGTGCTGATTTATTGTGAGAGAAAATATTATTCACTGGCTGTTGTTTCATCCGGCTCCAGCACCCGAATTTCTGGCCGTGCGATCGCATCAGCAAGCAAGCGTAGGGACAGATAGATGCATTGCAGTCTTGCAAAGGTAGAAGGGCAACCGCATGTAGCCGTGCGTCAGGAGGCTGGCGTGGGAACCGGTTTAGCTTGCAGAGAGAGAGGAAGGGCGTGGGGCCCATGCGCATGCGCGTCAGTAGGCAGACGGCGCATGCAGCCGTTGTAGAGGAAACACAAAAGTTATCGCTGTAGAGGAAACGCAAAAAGCCAATAAAGATGCTAAGCGCGTGAAGTTTGCAATTTGGCTACCGTACCATTTTCGTTTTTATTTGACAATTAGTGTTCAAGAACTAATTAGGTTCAAAACATTTATTTCACAATTCCCAACCAAACCGTATAATTAGTTTTTTTATCTACATTTAATGCTCCGTATACGTATCGTAAGATTCGATGTGATAAATACTATAGCACTTTTTAAGATTTTGGTTGGAAACTGAACACGGGCTAACAACCAGGCCACACCTAGAAGCCTATGCTGGTACTTTTTTTTCTTTTGTTGTTATTTTGTATTTTGCTTTTCATTTTGTCTAATTTTTGTTTTTTGTTTATCTTTGTCAATTTCAGTTTTATTTATTGCTTGTCGATTTCAGTTTCATTATTTCAGTTTTTTTATTTTCAATTATTTGAGTTTGTTTTCTTTTTTTAAGTTTTCAGTCAATTTTTTTATTTTTTAATTTCAGTTTTCATTCAAATTTTTTTTAATTTTATATAAGATAGTGTAAGCGAAACATTTAGTTGCTGCCCTTTAATAAATGTGGTCAGATTTAGTAACTTTCAATTGTCAGATTGATTGTCGATGTGTCTATTTGCCTGTAGTTTTGTTTGACCGTTGGATCCACATCACAGGGTTTAAAATTCGTTTGTTTTTGTTTGCTCCAACAGTCGTTTCTAGTCCTGGTAGAATCCGATTGTTTTTTTATTTCTTAGTTTCAGTTTTCAGTCAATTTTTTTTAATGTTAGTGTAAGCGAAACATTTAGTTGCTGCCCTTTAATATGTGTGGTCAGATTTAGTAACTTTCAGTTGTCAGATTGATTGCCGATGTGTTTATTTGCCTGTAGTTTTGTTTGACCGTTGGGCTTGACATTTGTTTGTTTTTATTTGCTCCAACAGTTGTTTCTGGGTCCTGGTAGAATCCGGTTGTTTTTTTTTTTTAGAGAATTCCTTATTTGACACTGGGAAAATGAGTCGTTTCTTTCTTGGTCCTGAAATTTTCTTCTTTCCCTATTTGACACTCACTTCAACTTTCATCCCTAGAAAAAAAGCGGCGAAGCAAATTTGAGAGGAAAAAAAATCTGCGCCCGCCTCTGATGCATGCGCCCAGCTGCAAAAAAAGGCGTAGGTTTTTTTTTCCTCTCAAATTTGCTTCGCCGCTTTTTTTTCTAGGGACAAAAACGTCTTTTTAACAGCCAGTTAACACCGTTAGCTAACGGATTTGACGGTAGTGTCAAATTAGGGATGAAAGTTGAAGTGAGTGTCAAATAGGGAAGGAAGAAAATTTCAGGGCCAAGAAAGGAACGACTCATTTTCCCAGTGTCAAATAAGAAATTCTCTCTTGTTTTTTTTTTCTCTGCCAACAACCGACTGTTTTGGAGGACCTAAAACAACCGACTATTACGACACACTCTAGTTTTAATTGACTTGGAGAGTTGGAACAGGAGGGACATGTTGTTCCAGTCCGTACCATAGCTGATTGTCGAGGACCAATACTAGGGTATTCGAAGAGGAGGGGCTAATGGTCGTCAATATTAATTCATCCGAGCAGTCAAGAGCGCGACTACAACTCCAACCGGCCCCCAGGTGCGCGGGCTCCGCCTCACCCGACCCCAAGGTCGCGGGCTCCGACTCGCCCGACACCGAGGCCGCGGGCTCCGTCTCGCCCGACAACGACGCCGCGGGCCCCGTCTCGCCCGACAACGACGCCGCGGGCCCCGTCTCACCCGACCTCTGGGGGTGGGCTCTGACTCGCCCGACACCGAGGCCACGGGTCACTCGAGCCATCGAGGCAAGTGACGTTAGCTCAACCCCTCTGGTTGCGGAAACCACGGACGGGGTAACGACCACAAAGACGAGCCGACCCTAGATCGGCCCCTGCTACGCACGGGGGCTCAAGGAAAGTTGGACTCACAAGCAGACCGAATGCACGGTCACAAAATGTTGGCTTAGATCCTAGGGAGGGGGTACGTGCAAAAACTAAGAATAACATTTCTAAAACAAGAGACGCTTTCTCCTACTAGTTTTGCTATCCTCTCCTCGATATTCAATGACACCCGATCCCAGCAACGGCAAGGGGTCAGGTCTCACTCGGGGGCTGATAAGGATATATATACACCCTTTCTGAAACAGTCGCCATGCCCGACCCCTTCCTCACGTTAAAAAAACTAATGGCAAGGTTCGCGGAAACGAACGACTGAGTAAGGATGGTCGTACTGCAAGAAACCTACGCCCCAGCGGCTATGGCACTCTTGCTTACTAGCGTGAGTAGAGTTTCCCTCCTACACCTCGAACTCTACGGTCTTAACAAACGGAAGGGTCGAACGCATTAACCCCTTTTCACACATAAAAAGGGAGAAAAAACAAATTCGTTCGCACCGAAACAAAAGAACAGATTTGATCAAACGAAACAAAATGACAAGTTTGTTTAAACGATACACAAGGGTTAGCACTTGTCCGATTATTATAAAAATGATTGTCCGACCTATCTAACTAACTAGCCCCTCCGGAGGAGAACTATGCATTCTATCCTGTTCGCTAGGTCTTGTGAAAGGGGAGCCACCGCCATCTCCATCTCGTCCAGCTCATGGACTTCATAGCCGAGCGCATAGCCGTGGCTTATCGCCTCCAGATCGATGCTGCCCCATAATGAGAATGAGCAATCATGAAGGATTGATTGACCCCGGCGCGAAGGCCATTCCTCTCGAGCTAGCACACCCGAGCCGTGATCTCGATGGCACGGGCAGCGAGCGAGCTGGACCCCTCTGACCGCACCACCTCAAGGTCGTCGCAGACCACTCTGAGGGCGGCGCTCGGGATACCGAGCTCATCGCTCTTCGCCTGAAGATTCATCCTTGCCTCGGCGAGATCCACAGCCAGCCTAGTAGAAACGCTCTCAGCCTCCAGCTTCTAAGTTGTCGTAGTTTCGAGCTCGGCCTGGAGGAAACCAACCTTCTGTTGCGCGTCGTCACGCTCTTGGCAGGCCGAGTCGCGCTCTCAGAAAGCCTGGTCATGCTCCTCGCGATCCGTGCCACATTTCAAGGAGAGCCTCTCCGTGGTTTGGATCTGTTCATCCTGCTCCTTGCACAGCCGAGCGACCGCCGCGGCATCCAGGCTCGCCCTCTTCTCTAGGGTCGCGTGCTTCTACTAGGCCTCCAGCTTCAGATCTCTTTCCTTCTCAACCTCGCTCAGAAGGTCAAGGATCCGCTAGCGGGTCTCGATGTCCTTCTAGAGCAGCTCATCCCGCTCCTTCCTGACCTTGGCGGCCTCCTCGTCGTCCTTCCGTGACCTTGCCGACAGGGCCTCGAATGCTTTTTCGGCCTTGTCAGCATCCCGACGAGCCTTGGCCACCCATGACTGGAGATTGGCTACCTCCTCGGCAAGGCGTCAGCTCGGCCACCCTCTGTTGGGTGGCAACAAGCTGAGCTGTCACCTCCCCGCGTACTCGCGCCTCCTCGAAAAGGCGGTCCCAGGCTTCCTTCTGTTGACGAAGGAACTTAGACTTTCCCTGGCTACGAGCTATAAGGGACTATAGAAAGATGATGGTTAGGATACAAAAAGTATATAAAGAAAGATAAGGGCAAGAGGCAGGAACAAACAATACCCGGCCGAAGGGAACAACAACGTCGCGCAATGCGCCTGTGGCATGGTTCAGGGCCTCGAGCATGGATGCGATCCCTACGTCGAGGCTCTCCCGCTCCACGCTCTCTGCGGTGTCGTCAAGGGTGAAAAGCGCTGACGCCGGATCCCGCGAATCCACCCACTGGAGCAGGGGCTCACCCGCGTAGGCGAGCCGCTGCCCGCCGACGTTAGGGCCAGGGACAACTCCCCACAGGCTCCAAGTGCTGCCGACCCCTCTTTCCATGACGTCCCCACCGGGACGCCCCCTTCGACGATGGAAGGGGTCAGCGGTGCAGACGCCAACCTTTCACCCGGCACCACGACTCATGTGGACCCCTCGGCCACGTCCCCCTCCGTCCAGCCCAGCGCCCGCCAGCGCCGTCGCTTGGGCCACCGATGGCATAGGTCGCGCAAGTGCCTCAGGCGCCTCTGCGGTTACGCCCGGCCGTGACCCATCTGTCACGGCCACCGCGACCTCCACCATCGTCGGCGGGTCACGACTGGCTGCGCCACGCCCGCCATGGTCGGTGCCACGAGCGCGATCGACAGCCCCAACCGTCCTGCCACCGGCAGCGGTATCGAGGCCGTCACTGGCTGCTCCATGACCTCCGAAGGCGCCCCTTGAGCACCTGCGTCCGCCTGTCCCGCCAAGGGCACAGGCGCCACCGAGGGCAGTGCCTGACCGGCCGGCGACACGGTAACACTAGCACCGCTCCCTCCTAAAACTAGCTTGACACCAGCCGATGACCGCCGCCTCAATTAGAGGGCGACGCTCTTCTTCGGCGCCAGCGCCAAAGGATTACGCTGTCTGCCGACGCTGCAAGGGACGAAAAGCATAAGTCACAACGAAATCCGACTAAAACAAAAAAAAAACAGAGGAACTGATAACTCACCTTAGCGCTGTCGGGCAGCAGATGCGTTTGGGGGGCGAACCCCCCGACCTTTGCTCCGCCTCGTCGGAAAGAGGCCGTTTCGAGCCTGCCCCCTGCTCCTGGGCAGAGGGGCTCGCTCCCTTTGGCTCTTGGGGCGCGACGACGGAGCTGCTCCGCCTCCACTAACACCTCAGGCACGACGGTAGAGCCGTCCGCCCCTGTTGGCTCCTAGGGCAGGCCGACGGTACGGCCCGCCTCTGCTGTCTCCCCGGACGTACCCTCCCCTCCGTGGAACGGAAAGGGTCCTAACGCCTGCAAGGACGAACCGATACCTATCAGCGTATCCTCGTTCTCTAGGTTGTGCCACTCGATATCATCGTCTCCATTGTCATCATCATCATCGCTGTCAGTGTCCTCCCCTCCTACCCGCGACTGTAGGTTCCGCTGCTTCTTTCTCTTCTTATTCTCCTTCGCCTTCCTCAGCCGCTTGCCCTCAGCGCGATTCGCCGTCTTCACGGCCGAATCCCTCGACAACAGCGTCGGGTGATCCATGAGGATGAGGTCCCTCGGCTGGTCCCATCCCCCTCAGAGTTAGTATCAAGGGGTCGATAAATCAATTAAAGAGAAGACAAGTGAAAGGGAGACTTATGAAGACGATGTAGCTTGACTTCGGCCGCATCGGAGGATGCCCAGCACCAAGTAGACGAAGTCGAGGGTGGCACCCACGCCATCTAGCAAAGGCTCCATCACCTCCTTGATGCGTTGTGCGATCTCAGAGTTAGGGAGCGTCCCCTCGACGACCGTCATTCCGTTGAACGACGCCTCGGGCACCATCGCATATAGCAGGAGCACGCGCGTCATCAATGGTGCCACCCTCCTTACGTGGTAAGCCCCGATGATGCCCAACCCCTTTAGGCCGTGCTCCTTCAAGATGTGGATGGCGGCGATGTGGTCTCGGATCTTCTTCTTGTCCTTCTCCAGGGTGCCCCACTTCATCCATGCTCCGAGGCCTCTTCGATCAGGCGCCCAGTGAACTCCGATAGAGGGGCGGTAGCGTCATTCTTGAGGTAGAACCTCTGCGAGTGCCACCCCTTGTTGGATGTCAAAAGCCGCATGGACGGGTACTCGCCGATCCGATTGTTCTGAAGTTGGATGCCGACACACCCCATCGGCATGTGCAGCTTCTGCCTGCCGCTTTTCTCCCTCTTCTTCTGGAGGGTGACGGTGAAGAAGTGCCCCACAAGTCGAAGTGGGGGCTGATGAGCAGCAATCCCTCGCATAGCGCGACTAACGCAGCCATGTGCTGGATCCCATTGAAATTGAGATGCTGTAGCTCAATCTTGTAGTAGTGCAGCAGCCCTCGAAGGAATTTATGGGCGGGGGTCGCTAGCCCAAGCTCGTGGAAGTGGGCGAACGACACCACGTAGTCATTGGGCAGCGACGGCAGATACTCCTCGTCGGGCAGCAGCCACTCCTCGGCCGAGGTCCGCTCGCGGAGAAGACTGCGACGGACGAGGCCCTCCATGCGCTGGAATGGGATGTCGAAACAGCACCACAGATCAACCAAATCTCACGGCTATACCCCTGAAGGGTCCGATCTCGACGAAAGGCAATCACCGTCCCCAGGTCACACCGTGGGCGACAAGAAGGCCAAGGCCCTCAGAGTCCTCCCGTTCAAAAAAACCTCTGAAGGAGTATTCTACTCCTCCGTAGGCTCGAGGGCTACTGTCGGGGACCAATACTAGGGTACCCAAAGAGGAAGGGCGAATGGTCGTCAACATTAATTCATCCGAGCAGTCAAGAGCGCGACTACGGCTCTGACCGGCCCCCAGGTGCGCGGGCTCCGTCTCGCCCGACCTCTGCGGGCGGGCTCCGTCTCGCCCGACACCGAAGCCGCGAGCTTCGCCTCGCCCGACCCTGAGGTTGTGGGCTCCGCATCGCCCGACACTGATGCCGCGGGCTCCGCCTCGCCCGACCTCTGGTGGCGGACACCGCCTCACCCGACACCAGGGTCGCGGGCTTCGCCTCGCCCAACCCCAAGGTCGCTGGCTCCGCCTCGCTCGACCTCTAGGGGTGGGCTCCGACTCACCCGACTCTTGGGTTTACGCTCTGCCTCGTCCGACGGAGTCCCATACCGCCGCCAACCACTCTAGGTCCAGGCGTATGGCCCTAGGTCAAAACTCTAACACCAGATAAGAGACTGGCATGCCTCGATGTAATCCGCGGCCACGACGGGCCGTACCTGAGGATTCATATCAAGAACAGCGTCAGGCGTATCGGTGTTGTTCTGCCTAACCCGCGTACGAACACTGACAGGTGCGTTAGTTCACCACGACGTCCGCTAGGATGGAGTGGAGCGCCATGACCGGCAGACGACGCCTGCGCATGGCGCCAGTGACGGACAGGGTCACGACGTGGCGCCATCCCTGTTGACATCTACAGGGGCGGCGGGACCCGCATAAAGGAGAAGAAGGACCCGCCGATCCTGAAGGCCTTCGGCTCTCTCTATCTCGTTCTTCTCTTTTCATCCGCTGTAACCCGTGCTTTCCTTTGGCCTATAAAAAGGAAAGCAGGACGTCTCATGAGAGGCATTAAAAAAAACCCATCGAACCCCAAACCGATCAGAGCACGACCCGAACACACAGCTGAGCAGCAACCGAGCTCTCTCAGCACCCGTTCATTCTTTTCACCAGAGACTTGGGATATGTCTCTCTCGTCCGTTTATAACCCCTACTATGAACTTTCAGTGCTAGTAACACGAGCAGCAGCAACGAACTGGACATAGGAATATTCTACCCGAATAGTATAAATCTCGTGTCCTCTTAGCACACCATCCGAAATAGACGTGTAATATTAGAAATTTACTTGGCGGTAACTCGAAACACCGACACTGACATTGTCATTACTAGTTTGCAGACCTTGAGTTTGTTGCTGCTGCTCATTGCTGATAAATGACAGTGAAAGCAATACCATTAAAAAATTGCAAGTAAAATGTCGTTGAATTGCATACTGCTATTTCAATAATTTGCAGAGTATATAGAAAGATAAAGGACAGTATGTTCTTCCGTCCGTACCTGCCATTGTTGTCATTGCTGGTTTCCGGACCTTGAGTCTGTTGACGCTCATCACTGATATATTACAGAGAAAACGGTGATTAGTTCGCATACTGAGCTTAAGACGGCGATAGAGCGAAGAAATTGCACAAAATTGCAGGGGACGACGAAGAAGGATTATATATGATCTGCCAGTACCTGCCATTGCCATTAGTTTGTTGCCCCTGACTCGAATTTGCTTGTTGAAAGAGCAAAACAAAAACCACTTGGATGAGAATGCACACGGCAACGACACCAACCAGAGCGCTGACATAGATGGTCGTGTCAATCTTCCGGCTGCTGCCGGCAGCATACGCCGCCAGGAGGCTGATGAGCGTGACGGCGATGAAGCCGTAGATCTCATAGGACCGCACCTTCTGGCTGAAGCAGAGCTTCTTCTCCAGGAGCATGACGAGGATGAGCAGGGACGCGACGAACGCCGTGGTGTTGCAGACGAAGAACGCCTTGAGGCGCGCGTCGTGGGGCCCTCCCTTGAGGATGGCGTCCCCCGGGCGGTGGCCGTCCTCGGGGTGGTCCCAGAAGCCGCCCGGCGCGCTGAGGCCGGCGACGTACGTGACGCTCGCCGCGAACGTGGCCAGCAGCATGAGCACCTTGCGGAGCCGCTCCGGCGCGCTCTTCCCTCTCTTGTACTTGTCCTCCTCCGCCGGCGACCTCGAGGCGAGGACCAAGTGGGCCACGAGGTAGCCGACGACGCCGGCCGACAGCACCAGGGAGTAGACGGCCGTGAGCGTGTCCCGGAACGCCCCCGCCGCGTAGGCGCCCATGAGACTGAGCAGGTCCAGCACCATGACGGCCCGGAGGACGCCGAGCAGCGGCGCGAGCCTGATGATCCCCCCGCTGTCGTGCAGCACGGACAGGATGAGGACGAGGACGATGACCACGAGCGACGATGCGAAGGCGGTGGCGTTGCTGTAGAAGAACGCCAGGTAGCGGGCGTAGTTCGTGTCGCGGATGATGGGGTCGCCGGCGATGCGGTGGGCGGCGCGGTCGGCAGTCTGCCAGACGCCGCCGGGGGGGTTGAACCCCGCGCCATACGTCACCGTGGCCACCAGCGTAGCCAGCAGCAGGAGATACTTGCGCAGGCTGTACTCCCACGATTCATCCTTGCCGCCTGGCCTCGCCATTGCCGGCGGTGTGACCGCGTGAGCGGCTGGATGCCTGGATGTGGATGGAGACGCTGAATGTGACTATGTGAGGGCGTGCAGATTGGGAGTTTTTATGACTTTTCAGCGACGACTTGACCTCGCGTGCTTACGTGTAGCAGAACTCAACCTGCCTGGACCCTGGAAGTGGAGGTGCCTTGTCTGCTGTCTCTGGCTCTTTGCCACGAAACTTCACTCCCCAGCGGGCACAAACCGTGGTCGTTGACGTGGAACAGAAGGCTAGGTCGTCGCAACCTGAGCCTACGGAACAATTGTGTGTGCATTTGTCATAACCAGATACCACTGTCACTCTGCCAGCGGTAATGACAGCCAACCATATCAGTAAAAGTATAATCCTACTTTAGATATTAACGACTTAACGTGATAACATCAACGTCCAATTTTCTCTGGAGTACAAATGACAAGAAGCATGGGGTAGCTGCGAGCTAAGACAAAAAAAATGACTATGGCCGGTTTGTTTCCGCATATAAGCGCCTCAGCGACCCGGTTAAGCCGAAAGGGCTGCATCAAGCCTTTTACCATAATCGCACGTCCATGAAAAAGCGAGGTTTGGCCTACGGTGAAATCACAGCTCTAAGGCTGCGATTTGGATAATCGGCTCTGCGTTTCTCCTTCTACCTTCCATTGGCACCCTCGCTCTCTCTCATCCAACACGACGGCGCCGCAGGCGAGTCTGCCCCTCCCTCAGCTCGTGTCGCCGCCCACTGTCCACGCCCGCTGTTTGTGCCGCCGTCTGCCCACCGCCTAAGCAGGTTGCGGCGCCACCCCTCCGTCTACTGGAGCCCCTCCCCCTCCGCGCGAGTTGCCGGCGGGCCATCTCTGCGCGTCTCCCTTCCCTGCGTGACCCGTCGGTAGCGCCGGCACGTCCCTCTCTTTGGCGGTAGGCGCCGCACTTGCCATGTGCGAGTCACCGGCGCCGCTCCTCCCTCCCCTCGACGACTGCCCTCTTCATGCGCGAGTCACCGACATCACCCCTCTCCTTCACTGTCGTGTTTGCTTCTCAGATTGCATTGAAACCTATGGAGAAACAATGTACTAGATGATAGAGTTTCTTGGACTATCTAGGCGTAGATCTAGTGGGTAAAACATAACTTATGTACCTCGCCAGAGCGATGTCATGGCCATGGTGCCGGTGACGAAGTAGCCACAGCGGGTCGGAGTAGAGGTAGCCGTGACGTGTCCGCTAGGTCATTGTAGGTAGCAGCAGTGCAGGCGTCGTACTGCGGTGGTGGTAAAGGCGATGGAGTTTCCCGTCGCTCACAGCGCGCCCTCTAGATCGGCTTAGGGATAGGAAAACTTCGGTGGGGCGCTGGCGGCTGCGGTGAACCTCATCCCTTGTGCCCCAGCCCCCAGCGTCCTTTTATGACGCTACGCGACGGGGGGCCATCAGCCAGTAGAAAGGCTGAGCGCCCCCATTCAGGGCACGGATTAAGGGCCCAATTGGCCGTTGGTGGAGATCAACCTAATATTCTCCCCCTTGATCTCACCTTATGACTTAAACTTAACTTCCTTTTTCTTTTTCCCATTCCATCACAGATCAGTGCATAGAGCGTGCCTCATCGTCACGGTCAGTTGTCATTAGATTTAACAGCTACAATGCACCTCTCTATTTTGAAACAGATACTCAATTAGGTCCTTAGTATCCAGAAATCATAGGCTTTTCCGTAAACCCATATCAACTGTGTGTTCTCTGAATGTACTGAGTGGTTAGCCTTTAGTAAGTGGATCTACAAGTACTTGCTCGGTACTTATATGCTCAATGCTTTCAAAATGATTCTGGATTTTCTCCTTTACAACATATAACTAAGTGTCAATGTGTTTGGCAGCATACTTGACCTGTTGTCTTAGGAGTTAACTTACTTTTAATGGTTATTGCTGTTGTCTACCATTATTAAATCTAGGTACAGATTCCCTTAACCACCTTTCGCCTGTTCCCGAAGCCTCATGAGAAGCTATACTATGGTATGCATCATTGATGACACCACAACTGTTTCTTTGGAGCTTTTTGACAATATTACTCCAGTTGTGAGTGTTAGCAACTACTATGGATTTTACTACACATCTCGACAAGGTTTAACATTTGTACCCGCAAAATTGCAAGACATTCTTAACTCCATTCCAGTGATCAATATCTGGACTGGACTTTTATCAAAACATCCCGGATACGTGAACTATGTCAGGGTAAGTTCTTACTTGTACACTCATTGAGCTTCCAACAGCTGAAGCATCTAGAACCATGCTCATTTGATTGATCTCATATCGGTTCCTAAAACACTGAAGTTTCCAAATCTATTACCCTTGACTATAGGAGCAGGCATAGGTTTAATCGCATGCATAATTTAATTTGTTTAAAATCTTTTCTAAGTATGCCTTTGTGATAGTCCTAATACCCTATTTTCTTCTATCTCGGTGAATTTCGATTCCTAGAACCAATGATGCTTCACCAAGATCATTTACATTGAAAATTGAGGACAAAACTTCTTCTCCAATGACAGATTAACATCACTAATAGTGAGTAGAATGTCATCTATTCACAGGATGTGGAAAATGAATTTTCCATTTTTGAACTTCACATAAACGCTATTGTCCTTCTCATTTTCTTTAAAACCCAAACTTTCTTATTGTTTTCATCAACTTTAAATACTACTGTCTAGAGACTTACTTTTAACCCATAAATGGATTTCTACAGGCGACATCCCATACATTCCTTTTCTTTCACGACAAAACCTTTGGGTTGTGCCATGTTAACGTTTTCATACAAATCCCCGTTGAGGAATGCCGTCTTTACATCCATCTGATGTAACTCTAAATCGTAATGTGTCAATAACACCATTATGATTCTAAAAGAATCCTTGCATGAGACTGAAGAGAAAACACTCATCGTAGTATATTCATTCTCTTTGCGTAAAGCATTTTGCTAAAAGTTATGCTCTATATCTTTCTACATTTCCTTTGGCGTCACGTTTTATGTTGTAGACCCTTTTACAGCCTACTATTTTTGCTCCATTAGAAATTTCTTCTAAGCCCCAAAATATCGTTGGTATTCATCGAATTCGTTTCAGCTTCCATAGCTTCTTGCCATTTAAACGAGTAAACGCTTCTCATGGCTTCTTCAAATGAAGTGGGATCACCCTCCAATTGAATTTATTTACTAACATAGACTTCATAGTCATTAGAAAAAACTGGTTTGCTAATTCTTTGAGATCTTCTGGGGCCTTAGCTATCGGCACTTTCATATGGGGCTGTTGTTGCTCTTTATTGCCAAAAGGCAATTGATTCTATAGGCTCATGTATTACAAGATCCTTGTTTACATTATTCATCTTCTTCAAAGAGCTAACAATAGGTGTTGAGTCACACAACATCAACAGGTATTGAGAAACTTGTTGCTCCTAAGTCACTAGAGTGGGCACATAGTCCATCTTCTCTTCAAGTCTTAGGTCTCTACATATCTCTATATACCATGCTCCCTCAGATCTTCCTATTTTTTTAAAGATGGTGTATCTTCAAATATCTTATTTTGGGTTTAATCTGTTAAATCCTCATATGGCACTTTAAGCACCACCTTAATATCTTTGAGGCTGACTACGCTATCTTTCTGTTGGAACTTTAAAAGGTCCAAGAATTTAGCTATTTCTCTGTTTAGGGGTATCATTGTTGTGACCGTTGTACTCCTCTAATGGTCGCATTCATCTTAATTAATCTTTATCTCACTCTTAATGAAGAGCATCTTTCTTAATTGATCTTTATCTCACTCTTAATGAAGAGTATTTTTCTTAATTGATCTTAATATTCTCCCATTCGAAATGTGGCATAAACTTTATTGTCATAATTTCAAGAACTATTCAGAAAACCTATGAACGAGGAGACACTTATAACTTACTTCATTCACATGATTATGTCATGTAAACAAAGTTATTTCTTGATCTGTTTATGAGTACACTTTCCTTATTTTACTTCAAGAACTCAATAAGGTCTTTCATTAGCAGTATTTTTGCAACTCACGCTTGCATTTTTTCTTGTCTTTTGATTAGTATTGATCATGACGGTGAATTTCTATCGTGCCCTGATCAATACTAGGATAGTATAAGAGCTACCCAAACTTCTCTCGCTATGCGGGATATAAAAACATATAAGTCATCACAAAACTTATTCCGCCATGCAGGATGGACTAGCATAAGTACTATACCAAAACTTCTCCCCATACGGGATAAATCTATATACAAACACGCATGTTTAATCCAACGTTGGTCAAATTAGACATGCATGTTACTTATTGCAACTCTTATCATAAAAACATTCACTTATACTTTATTTTCCAATTAAATCTTCCCGTTGGTTCTAATTTAATCAAAAAATTAATAAACTAACAAAAAACTATCCTGAACCGGCTTGACTCTAGCGTTTTTCATTCACATACTGCAGCATTGCAGCCCGTTGCCATGCAGCCGAGTAATCTCATCGGTTAAAAAATAAAACATACAATATGTTTATGCATCAATTCAACATCACCATTGGGCAAAAAATAGAATTAATGTATAAAACTCATAAATTAACTTGAAAAACATGTAACTACTTCTCAAAATTAAATTCTTTCGTTGGTTCGAATTTAATTAGAAGATAATGAACACTTCATTGCAGTGGAAACATATTAATAAAATACATTCTATTAGTTCAGGAGCATTTCTTGGTCCTTATCTACTCTCAAAAAAATTAACCACGTTGGAGTAAAATTTATCGGAGATTTAAACCTCAAACTTGAATACATTATAATATTGTCATCATCAACGTTGGTCAGAAAATGACAATACCATAATCTGACTTAAACAAAGTGGACTACTTCTCTAATTTAAATTTTCCTATTAGTTCTAATTTAATTAAAGGATAAATATAATCATAATTTACTAAATATAACAGTTCTTCAAATTACATTCTCCCGTTGGTTCGAATTTAATTAGAAGAT